CACTGCAGGTCCAGGGATCGAACCCCCAGCCCCTGTGCCTGCTTGCAGGTGCTTTAATCTGCTGAGCCATTTGGCTGGCCCTAGTCAGTTTTTTTTTTTATTAGACATAAATAAGGACATATGTAGCTCTCATTGCTACAGGAGGGGTCTTTTTATGAAGGTGACAGTTAAGAGATAAAGCAAGGATCTGGGAATTTTTTTTTTTTCCGGAACCGGGGATCAAACTCAGGCCCTTGCGCTTGCCAAGGAAGCGCTTATTCCACTGAACCATCTCCCCGGCCCCTGAGATCTGGGATTTTGAGTGGGTGAGTCAACTGATCACAAAGCTTGCCCTATTTGTGGACTAAAACATTTCCTCATCATTTAAGCCAGTTTGAGTTGCCTTATCTGTTGCCAGCAGCATAATATTTGAATACATCTATGTTATACCATGTATACAGACGCCCTCCACAGTCACACAAAGAATAGATTCCAGGACTTTCAAATACCAGAATTTGAAGATACTCAGGTTCCTTATAAAAAATGAGATGGCATTTGCATATAACCTATGCAGTTCCTTTTGTACACTTAATCTCTAGAACACTTATAATACTTATTATGTAATGACGTAAATGCTGGACTAGGGAGATACCTCAGCAGTCTAAGTGTCTGGCAATTGCAAAGACCCAGGTTTGATCCCTGGTACCACATGCTAAGCCAACCTTGAAACTGGGGGTGGTAGTGCATGCCTGTAATCCCAGCACTCAGGAGGCTGAGACAGGAGGGTCACTATGAGTCTGAACTGTGTAGTGAGGCCCTGTATCCAATAAATAAATAAAAATGGTAAATACTGTTTAAAGAATTATTGTATTATACTGTTTAGGGGTAATGACAAGAAAAAAAAGAATCTGTACGTGTTAGTCTGTTGGTAGTGGGGTCTGGGCTGCCACCTGCTCGCCACAGTCAGTTTAGGTAGGTGGTGTCGTATTACTAGTGTCCTCATTCATCATGTTCCTAAGACAAACGGTAACTAATAAAACACACCTTGGGATTTTATACCTTACACAGATACAATCTTTATTTAAAGAAAGAAGACTAAGCCCTTGATATAAGTGACCTCTGAGATATCTGATCTTCCATCTTTAGCATCTACCCAGATGCCTCCAACCACTCTCTGCACACACTGAATTATGTTGCCACCTAGCTCTGCAGGGAGGGGCTCCCGAGACAGTCTGGCCAGGCAGCAGGATGGGAAGACCCTCTCCCCTCTCAGTGTGTGACACTGGCACTGGCGTTCCTGGGCTCAGCCACCAGCATTCCAGACGTGTTCTGGGATGGTTGTCATACACAGCTGAGGAGTGACCACACTAAGCCCTGTATTATTTGCTTTAATATATTATTGACTTAGTATATTACGGGCTTTTTATTTAGACTCCCAGTAAACTTACAGAGAACAGACAGCAGTTTTGCTCACATATATTGTACTAACCTTCTTGTGCTAGTAGGCATCAAGAAAAAAATAAGCAGGAATTACTTACAGAAAGAAACTTTACACTTGTATAAGCTGCTGGCAGTAACAAGTTATCTTGTCATAAAATTGAAGAGTGAAAACAGGCCAGATATTAGTCCCTTGAAATATATAAAAGAAGTTTGACAACTTCTGAACATATCAGCACATGTATCTCTGTGTGATCCTATTTCACATTCAATCATAAGTTATTAATAAAAGTGGTAAGGAAGATTTTATTTGGTTTACCAAGTGCTTAGTTTAAACCTTTATGTTTTTTTCAGATGTTCCTGGCATCTCAAGATTTCTAATAGACTGTACAAATTCCAGAATTTGGCATTTATTCTATACCCACCATGACATGAATTATGTGTCCTCGCTCTGACATGCCTGAGATAATTAACTTTTAAGAGAAAAGGTTGATTTTGGCTCATAATTTTGGAGGTTCTAGTTCAAGACTGGGCAGACCCCTCGTCGTAGGTCTCTGTTAAGTATGTTGGATGTGAATGAAATGAGTGCAGTAGAGAAACCTCTTTATGGCATGCCCAGGAAGTAAAGGAGGAAAAGGAAGGGGTTTTGGCCCCCACAGTTCTCCAGAGTAGAGCCCCAGTGACTGGAGATCACTCTCCCGTAATGCTCTAAATCCAGAGCAACTCCCAGTACCACTGCCCCACCAAGCCTTCAACACATGGTCCTGGGAAACGTTCAACACCTAAACTGCTTACAGCAAAGTGTAAGACTTTTTCTGACATCAGAGGCACTGAGATACACATTTTATATCTCAAGAGTGGAAACTAGTTTCCATATATATATA